TTCCCTTCCCACTATCCCAGTAACATCCTCTCTACAACACATCTAATTTTTTCTTGTTGCTGGAAACACAAAGCAGGAATTAAAGAAGAAACAACCACTTACCTTCTCCAAACATGTACATCTGTTTCTAGTGCAAAAAGCAAGTCTGTCAGGAGCCGCTGGTGCATGGGAGACCATTTAAACTCTGGAATACGAAACATAGTTGTGCGTGGACCTGGACTAAACTGTCGTCGCTGCTCTTCTGTCATTGGCATTCCTCGAAATCCCAAGTCAACACGTAAATCCCGGTCTTGCTGGGTGACAGATCGACCCTGTACTGCCTACATCAACAAGAAGTTCAAAAATGATGTTAACTTTCTATAATGTGTTTTTCAATGGATCACAGAATTAGAGAAAGGATGGACTAAAACTGGACTTGAGCATAAACTACGGGAGATATTGATATTCCAAGGCAAGCAGTATCCTTCAATAAAGGAGCTGCTTCAATTTACATCTATCAGCACTGAGGGGCTATGGCTGGTCTTCCTCTCAGCTATTCACTGATGTTTTACACTCAGCTTCTTCACTTGAAATATTACACAAAAGACCAAATACAGCATGCGCACGGACAGCAGGGACAAGACTTTATTTATAGGAAACAACTATTCTTTTGTGCTGATAACACAATTTTCTTTGACTATTTGCATCAAAACTTGGATTAACTATACCATGACAGCTTCAAGAAATCAGTGTAATTTTAGATAGCTCCTCATTTTCCAAAACCAATTTATTTATCTAGTCCTTTTAGCAGGTTGATTAGAGAATCAAGTCTAGTCTCCCAAATCTCATTTTGCCAATTTTGTTACACTTTGTTAATTGGATAACAGTTTTATGGATCCCCAGGACATTCTTTAGATGCTCCCAACAGGTGGTGGATGTGAATTTCATTCCCTTTCAATACCTACATAGTCATGACTGTTTCCACTTGGTGATTAAAGACAAGAGTAAAAGATACACATACAGGATATAATGGAGAATGCCATGAAGGAAAAAGAAGTAAAGAACAAATACTTGACTGAATTTGAGGCAAATATTCATAACAACAAAATTACATAATGTGCAATGTCTGTGAAATAAAGAAATACAAAGTCTGATCCTTGAAATTATTTTAAAGTTACTTTAGATTAGCTTCAAATTGGCAAAATAGAAAATATACTTGCTTTGCTGACTTATTCATTTCCTGATCTTAGCATACGGTTTTAAATCTGGACAGCATTTAACAGGGAAAAAACATTTACAAATTATTTGTGGTAGCAATGTGAAAATGAACATGGCATTGGACTTGAGCTGGACAGCTGCTTAGATCTTTAGTCTGATTTTGATCTTCCAGAGCAGGGCAGGTTTCCTTCATTCAGTTTGACCTATTGAGATCAAATTTTTTACTGTTACTTTAATTTCCTCTGCTTTTCTTTAAATTATCTTTAAATGATTTTTTACTTTTCTTCTTAGACTTATCTAAGATTTTTTTTTAATCAATCTTCTGTATAGTGCTTTCAATTTTATTTTAAGTCATTTCTAGTTAGGACCATAGGAAAGAGTTAATTTTATATTCTTCAATAGTTGATCTACTATAGATGAAGGCATTAACACTTCTTAGAGGTAAGCAGGAGTTTCACATTCCCTTTGCGGTGCAATTTGTTGCTTCTTTTCAGTTCATTTGAACTTACTTCTTACTGATAAGGTGGGCAGCTAATTGTAGATCTGTTTTTAGAGAATTTGAGGTTAGCAACTCCATTCATATACCACTTTTTCTCTTTTGCGTAAAACTACAGGTATTTGTCATGTCAGGAGCAGTAATAGTATCATACTGTATCATAACAGGATACCTTTATTCAGCCAATACTACTGTATCTGAAAGAATGGGCTTTCATGTGCATTGCATAAATTCCCAAGGCACCCAAATATCTACACTTAGGTGGCCAGTCTTTAAGCCATTTTCAGTGGTCTCAAAGAAATCAAATGTAACATGGCAGTTCCCATACATGCTGCAATCAAAATGACAACCTTCAGCTCCACTGCAGACATGTGAAAATTAACATTGCTCTTTGCTCATTAAAACAGTGATGTTTGATTTACATTTCCATATTTCATTATTGAGGTTAACTTCATTTAAACAGAAAAGAGTTTACGGACAGCTTACAGTTCACAGGGTATTTCAAAATACCCAAAGAAGAAGATAGCTATTCTGACAGTTACACAGTTGATAATTAGTTTTGAGAATATTATTTAAAATATATATTAATGGTTACAGACTTAATTCATTGTAGCTTATTACTGATTTTAGTGATAACTGTAATTTAAGCAGTGTATGATGAAGTGAGGGAGTTAATTAACTTGTAAGTTCAGATGCTTGAAGAGTAAACAGTTTGTAGGTAATTATCAGATAAAAATGATCTGTTAGGAAATTTGGAAAACATTTTGTTTCTCCTGTCTTACAATGATCTGATAAAAGTTAACAAATGATTATAGGCTTGAGGAATTTACATTTTTGTAATTCAACTGTTATAGGTGAAATTCATCAAGAAGAAAGGTTAAAGAACAGAAAAGTCCCAAAGACACACCATCAGAATTTTCAGATTATCTTTTGCATTAAAGATTTATCTTACAAATTCATCTGTGATTATGGGTATAAGTAAATACCAGCATTTCACTTGTCTTTTACTCTTTAAAGAAAAATCCACATTTCAAAATAAAAACTGACTGCTCCTTTTTCTTGCTCTCCTCCATCATGTCCATTTATCAGTTTCCATGGCATTAACAGTCTTAATTTTAAGACTTAATGTGTTTGGGAACTGACAGTAACAGATATATTATTCCTGTTGAGAGCTTTCAGGGTTTGTTCTTTATTAGACAGAATACTTTTAAATATAAGGATCACTGAACAATACTTGCTACTCTGATACTGATGTCATGAGGATTTTCTTAGTTTTGAAAAAATACTTACAAGAGAACCCCAAACTTTTCTTGTAATACCTGTCTAGGGAATGTAAGAGCTCCATCTGCTTTACTCATCAAAACAGAGGTTCTTACCATAGATGAGAGATTTAGAAGAGTATTCTTTCTATATGCCAGAACACACTGGTCTGAGTAAGTGGTGTTGTATTTCTTTTTTTTTTTTTTTTTTTTTTAAAGAGAAAGTATCTGTTTTGGAAACAACAGATTGTTTAAATAAATTAAAATGTCCATTCACTGAAGTTTTGCTGAAAGTATTGTTTCCCTGAAGAACAAAGTGGGCAGGCTGATCTGTGTTATCAGATGCCATGTACTTTGAGTGTACTTGAGTGTATCTCTGAAACTCCTTCTTCTGACAATTTGGTATACACTACACTGTATTGGTCAAAGCATTTTTTGCATTTTTTTCCTGGCTCTTCTTCCATAGTTTCAGGAAGTCTGCTTGACTTTAAAATCTTAGAAGATAAATACTGGTGTACACGTTGGACATACAGTTAGTCAGTAAAATCTTGAAGGTAGTCAATTCTTTCACATGATAACAACCTTAAAAACAATATTTGATTACATGATACAGTCTCTGAACAATGCCAGTGAGGAAATTAATTCTGTACTTTAAAAATTCAAAGTGATCCTATATTTTGCTGTGTATACAGAGTACAAATTCGTTCAAAGAGTAGTATTCTGTCTTGGCCTTCCCATTTTCAGAATGCTATGGCTGTTGCAAAAACACTAATTTTTCAGAATTTTTCAAAAGGAGACCTAGACAAGAAAAGATCTCCAATAAGAAAGTTCTTTCTCCAATAAGAAACTTATTTTATTAATCATCTCTTGTCTAGAAATCAAGTCACAGTTTGTTTGGTCTTTTTCTATTATCTCTAAATTATTCCTTTTTTGATGTTAGGATCAAAAATGGAGATAATTTATGCCAGCATCCCTGTATGGGAAGGAAGACAGTATCCTAAAGTGCTGTAAGACTACACTCTGCGGAAGGTACAGCAAGAGGAAAGAATATTTCAATATATATTTCATTGTGAAATAAAGATATTTCTAATCTTAAGACATTCTAACAAGAAAGTCTAAAGCAGAATTCTAAGAACTTCACAAGAACTAAGGAAACTGGATGAGAGATTCTCTTAGCTAAATTTTTTAAATTAAAGCATCTACAACTGCAATACATATTTTCTCTACAAACATGAAAGACTTTACAATTCTTACATATGTTAGAGCATTTTCAAAGCAAATAGGCTTGGAGAATGTAAATCCTTCATATAATAAAATAAAAGCCCTCCAAACATCTCTCAGATCTTGTACTATTAATTTATCCAGCAGGTACAAACAATTACAGCAGAGACATGCATGGCTAAACCAATTGAAACTTACCTGGGTTGTGGTAGTTGTCTGGATCTTCCGTATCTCCTTTCCTGCTTCCTTACCATCATCAGATCTTTCTGTATCTGATATTATACTTCCTGCATCAACACTAGGTACAGTTTTGCTACCAGAAGACTCTGTCTCAAGAGTTGTGGCAGTCATTTCAGCATATTCTAATCCTTTAGATGATGAAGCCAAATCCCTCTCCGAAATACTACTCATTCCATCTGAAGTTGTGTGAATCTTGAACTCCTTGTCCTCTATTATACTTGAACCACATGTTATATCTACACTAGTCGTCATATGTGCAAGCAATCCCAAATCATCATTTACACCAAGATGCATCTGTGTCTCTTGCACATTTGGAATAGAAATGTGATTACTTGAAAGTTCAGGTAGAAGTTTCTCCTCTTGACTAGGTATTTTATCAAAGAGAAATGAGGTACTGTTAGTAGAAGGTTCATCTTTCTCATCAGCCAGAGTTATTAAAGGACCATTATCTTTTTCCTCATTCTTCTTAATAATACCCACACTTCCATGAACATTATTTTGCAGCTTCTCAACAGCAGCACTATAAACATTATCTAGAAGAGATTCGACTTCTACAAGTGCACCATTTTCTCCAGTTACCAGCGTCTCTGGTGATAAATCCATATCATCAAGTTTTACTTCAGTGGCTTCTACCTTTTCAGCTTTTATATCAACTAAAAGGTCATGAACTTCCACATGCACTCCTCCTCCTGGTCTCTCAGTACTTCCAAGTACATCATCTGATACCTTTGTAGCCATGAGCAAGTCCCTTGTATCTGTACTGACAGGGTAATCTGTTTCACTTTCTGGACTTTGGCTTTGTGAAAGGTCTTCTATCTCTCGAATTTCCATTCCACCTTTTGCTCCTGTTGTCTGAGAGGAAAGACCTGAGATAGTGCTCACATTCCCCTTCTTCCCCTTTTTGATGTTTTCTTCCTCTTGTCTTTGATATTCTTCATACATTTTTGCTAGATACTCCTTGTGAGCCTCGTACGTGACCTTAAAAAGAAAATAACAGATTATGTGGAAGAAAATATGCTACAGGAATTTGGACCAAAAAACTAACAAGAATCTTAGCAACATATTACACACAGCTTACAAATCGTTTCACGGCAAGGGACCTACAACGATGCCAAAAAAGCCACCTTGACATGTATGGAGATAGCCACCAGATGGCACTAAATCACTTCACAGCTTATTGCTGGTATTTCTAGTCCCTTTGGGGGAGTTGCCAGTATTAAAAAACCATCCTCGAGCCATTTCTTACCTTGGAATGAGCTATAGAAAGAGTATCCACCCACACTCTCCAGCCTCCCCATTCATATTTTATTGCATGATACAACAGAATGCGGAAAATGTTGTAAACCATCTCTGTGATCTTCTGTTCTTCAGAGTTCTTAGGATTAATGTATCCCAGAGAAAACATCCAGTCCTGCCACACTGAACACTGAAGTAAACATCTAAAGTGAAATAATTAGGTCAACATATATCCAAACAAAGCTTCTTTATATTAACATTATGATGGTTAAAATAGGAGGAACACCTCCTCTGAGCATTAATTCAACAGTAGGAAGAAATTAAAAATACTTCAGAATGAAAAAAAATTTAAAGTATATTCTAAACAGAAGAATTCCATATTATTTACTGAACTAAGTAGTTAGTGCAGACCTATTTCATTTATTTCTTATATATTCCACTTAATATACAGTATAAAACTCTACACAGACTATAACAGATTGCCATTACCTACAAGGACGAGAAAATACTATTTGCAGTAACATACCTTCTGTTTTCACGGCTATTACTAAAGAGTTTTATCATATCAGATAAGAACAAACGTCGAACTTCCATCAGCTCTGCACTTGGTGTGGAGTTTTTTAACAGCGTTGCCACCACCTTAAGAATCACTTTGAAAGAATAAATTAGTTACGTAACACATTTTAACATTTTTTTAAAAAAAGTTGCTTAGAGCAACTTATGTAAGTAGTTAACTGAAACCCATATGTATTTGAGATACAATAATGATTTGTTCTCACTTCCTGAACCATTTTAAAATACTCCCACAATCTCTAGGCAATATATTTATCATACAAACATAATATATTGTCCTTACTTGGATTCTGAATTTTCACTGTAGAATCTGGCTCTGGATGTGGTTTATGAACAACTTGAGTGCATACTTGTTCTGTCAAAATCTAAAACACAGAATATTATTTTCCTTTTACCATTTTTAATTAAACACTACAGCATTTCTTTGTTAATTTTAAAATTTGTTAAGAAGACCATTTACCATGGTCACATGAAACATTTTGGTAAAATATTTTTATTCTTGAAGAATGGAAACAAGCAATTCCTCTATGTGAGAAGCAAGATTTCCATGGATATATCATGACTGACTAACTAACTTTTTAGTTAGCTGACTAAATACCCAATAATGGTGGTTTAGAAATATTTAATTAATATTCTTTATAGTGTTATACATTCACAGATCAAATATTCTTTCATGAGCACTGTGCGTCAGAAGTTACTATATCCATAACCAAACCTAGTATTTCTTAAAAGTGGGTTTGGTTTTCCCCCACTAGGAAAGATGAACAGTCACAAACATCCCTCCATAGGAATAATCCTGAGACTTCACACAATGAACAAGAGAGATTATTCCCCTGTTTCATGAATTGTACTTGACAAACTATTGAGGCAACACCACAGACCTTTCGCACTGGGATACTTGTCACTGGTTTTATGTATGGAAATTTATTTTTAAGAACAAGCTAAAAACTTAACAATAATAATGCAGGACTCTTCATAAGAATATTCAAGCAAATTAATTTCAAAATAGAAGCATTTCACTAATAATTTTTATTATTTTAAAGCAGAACTTTAGATTATTCATTAATCAATAATCAAAGTCACTTTAGTTGTAAACACAGTATCTTTGAATGGGTCTTTACATATTGGTGTCTAAAATAGAATGCAAATACACCTTGGCTTTTTATGAGAGGAACATGGAAAATATCTGCACCAGTTCCTTGTCAAATCTTTTTGTGTTTCCGGCACTTAACTCCTTTTTCTTCTTCTCTGGCTATTTTTCCATGTAAATGGCTGTGGATGCTGGACTCCAAGAGGATTGTAATTTTGTCACTGATTTAGGTATTTTCTGAGCATACCAATCACAGAAGCTCTCAGAAATCTGAATGCAGGGACATCTAGATGGTGAGACCCATGTGGCCAAACCACCGAGGGTAAGCTCAGATACGTGCAATAAAAAAAGAACCTGATGTTTGCATAAGCCACTAGCAAATAGACGATGTTCAGGTTTTTGCAATCATAGGAGAATGTTTTCTACATCACTTCAACTCAGAACCCTAAATATCAATATTCTTCCATGTCTTTTCTGAAATCAGTCCTCAGTATTGAACCATTACATCTATTTGTGTTTAAAAAACCCCCAAAATACCTGCAAAGGATTAAATTCAAAGTCATAATTTTAAAAATAATTGAAGACTGGACATGATCTTAATGCATTTGCAGACATGAGGACATGGGTTTTTACCAACTTGATTGTATTTTGCTTTAACAGAATTGCTTATCATCAGAACTGACATTTCTACAAGAGCCTGGTAGAACAGTTGAATGCTTTGAGGTCATATTAACTTGCCTCAAGCAGTACCTGTTACATAAAAGTGTCTGCATTCAGTTACCATTTTGGCATACTATCAGAATTACTAGTTGAAAAAGAAAACCAGCATTTTTCAAAGTTTTGTAAACTTCATAGGAATGGCACAAAAAAGGGAAAAGATAAAGAAAAAGAAGCATCTCTTTGGCTCCAGCAGTTTTCATTGCAATTGAAACAAACTCCTCCAAACAATGGAGGAGTAAGAGCAATTGCAGGTCGGCAGTAACTTTTTCATTTTTTTGTGGAAAGTGATGAACATCTTAAAATAGCAGGGTCTTTTACATCACCTTCTGTAATGCTGCAAGTGGAAAGTTTTATAGAGACTATGTAAAAATTGTGACACTGTTAACAAAAAATCCTAAGAATGACAAAATACATTTTGAACCAAGAAAACCTTTCGTAAAATTTCTACTCAAAATTCTCTCAAAAGTCTTGAGAATCAGGATCTTACAAAGCACAGTCAAACAAAATAATTACATCAGAATTTTCATCAGAAAAATCTCTATGTTTAACAATCTGTACCTCATAAAGTGTGTTATATGTTGTAACTGTCACCGTATTTGTATGCAGCATCAACCTTTCTCCAAGAAGTGTGAAAAGACTGTGAGTATGCATGATTTCAACCTTTCGTCTGGAAGAGAACATAAAAATATTAGGAAAACACCAAGCATGTTGAACATTTAAAGTAAATACAAAAAAAAAACCCAAAAAACACCGAACAACCAAAAGCCAAATATTTTGATGTTGTACTAAAAAGTTCTAAAATTTGTTATTCTGTAAATATTATGAATATAATTATGAACATCATTTAAGACCTTTTCCAATATAAATGCAATTGCAGTAATACAGAAAGGTTCTCAGAAAGCAGTGCTGCGTTTTGGGATGGGCTTTTGTATAAAACAAACGGCACACCATTCCCACCCTACATGGTTTTCACAGTGGAATAAGACAAAGGAATCCCTTTCTATCTTACTCAGGCTGAGAGAGTTCAAGATGTTCCCAGGCTGGCTAAAATGCGATCACTGCAGAACATATCTTTTGCCACTCCCCCAAGGACTCAGGACAATCCAACCTCAGACCTTCCGCCATAAATACTAACACATACAGACTTATCAGTACTGGCATTCTCTATATAGCATTCTCTCATGCAGCCAAAGTAATTAAATCCTGGAATAACATAAATTATAATGCAAAGGAAATAAAATCCTGAAAAGCTATGAAATTCCAAGTGATGGAAGTGAATTTTACAGCTAGGATAAAAAAACTACTCAAATCTTAAAAAGCGAAGAATAAAGCAGCTCACATCAGTGAATTCCATCTGTCTCAAAACACTATTCTTTTAAAATTGGAAATAATGTCATAAACAGAGAACTTCTCATATACTGCATCATTAAATTTATCTACTACTGTAATGAGTATGAAATAAAAAAATAATTATTAAAAATAATTAATAATCTATATTAAAGCCACAAAAAATATGAAAGAAGATAAAATACAGTAAATTTTCTGTGAAATGTTATGCATTCAAAAGCTAAGAAACATCCTTTTCATGATTACTGATGCTAATAACTCAGGTTTAAATTACACAGCTTCATTCTAAAGTTTCTGAAATTAATACATTATATTATCATTTTCAAATAGCCACAAATGAGAGTGGCAACAACTTATAACTGTTTGTACTCTTCTGTGCACAGAAGAGAGTTCATGAGTTACTCATCTACATAATCTACATGCATTCAACCTTGTGAGCTATGATGAAGTCCATGGAAGTGGAAAATAATTGGAGGGTTTAAATGTGCAGATAAAATCCAAAAGCAAGTAACTAAGTATCGTTTCCATGCTGGTATGGAAAGAATCAAGGATGGCAGAGAAGGAAAAGAACAAGACTAAGCAGACTATCATCACAGATACCAAATACAATCGATTAAGTCATTTAGGTTCTCATCTGACACATTGATGGTCACTTATCCCAAGAATCAATTACATTCACTCTATAGCTAAATCTGCAATGAATATATATGAACTGCAGCAATGGTTTTGTGCTTACACATTTGTTATTAATATTGTATTGGTTGAGATTTCATAAATCACATTACAACATCTCTCTAAGCAATTCTGCTTTAGAGTATTAAAATACAATGCCTGTTTCCAGTACTCTGAAACTAAAATTTATCTAAGTGCTTTATAAGTTTATGTGGCTTACAATTTTATGATTCAATAGAGTTTCCTGTAGTTTACTACAATTTTATAAAACAAAGCATGTGCATGTGTGCAAATGGGCACACCTCACAAGCAAAAGCTGTAAGGTGTGAAAAGGTAAGGGGGAATTTTTATTTGCTGAAACATACATAAAACATGAACATTTACAGATGTTTGGAGGTCTGAAAAAGAAACGAATGTACTTATTTGGACACAACCAGGCTTCCGCACAAGTCAAACCTTCATCTGGTATTTCTTACTTATTCCAACTCCTATTGCGAATGTGAAAACTCCTAATGTGAAAAATTTTAAGTAAGTAATGTTTGAAAAGCCCTTGAAGATTCTTGAGTGGACTAACAATTTGTTTTATTAATTCCCAGAACACTCTTTAGCTTCCTGGTTCCCAAAAGAAAAATCCCATTTGGGAGCACATGTTCAGCTGTCTCTCAGTTATACAGTCATATTTTATTGATCTTGCTGAGAAAAGCATGTCGTGCAATACTGCACTCTGGCAGGACTCCTCGCTGCTTTCTCTTCTAAGGAGGTTTTACATGATGAAATCTCTCGTGAATCACACGGCTAATTGTTACACTGCCCAATCTCCCACAAGAATGTTGTTGTGGGCTAACTCTGGCAGGCAGCTAAATAACATATGTGGAAGGGGAAAACTGAGCAGCAGCAGATTACACAGTACTGCATGCTTTTTAATTCTTTCTTAACAACAAATAATGGAAGATGAGACTAAGTACAACTATTTCATGACATCAGCTCATTTTAAATGTGATTATTTCTTTTCTATTTTTTAATGATCATTTACTTAGTCTGTTCTCTTTTCCTTCCGAAACTTTCCCATGTGAATGACATATTTGTCTTTTTCATTTTTCCAGTCATTTGAAAGCTATTTTTAAAGCAATGCCCTGAAACTTTTATTGCAATGACACTGAAAATTCCAGCAACAAATGTTTGATACAACTCATATGTTTTCTATTATCCTTAGCTGACGATGCATTATACATTTATAAATTGCATTTTTGAAAAACACTGTTTTATAATTTTAGGACTTAAATTTCAGAATACCATTTATTTGGCAATCACTGTATCTTTTCAATCATCATATTAGTAACTAGTTAACTGGTAAGCTAATTTTATGCCAATATATAAAGATAACAATCTACAAATAATCACAAAACCTAACAATTTTAAGTAATTTATAAAGACGGTAAAAGAAGATACAGTAATCATCACAAAAATACAAGAAGAATTGTGAACTCAAATACACTACTATTATTATTTTAAAACTACACTTACTTATGACCCAAGTGTTTAAGAAAATATCCAAGGACCTTCAAAGCTTGCACCCATATGCTCTCACTTTTGGAAGCCAATAATTTATAAATTACTCTAAAAAGAAAAACAAATTCAGGAAGTTTTTTTCAGTTTATTACTAAACGTCACATATATAGATTGCATTTCACTGAACAGGAATAGTTCATAATCAAGAAAACTAAAACCTAGCAATTTACACATAATGGAAGGATATACTGAACGAACCAAGCAAAGCATAAGTTTGATTATGAATTCTTTAGGTCAGAGATGGTGTCTCTCCATTCGGTTCAATGATTTATAACAGAAAATGACAACTTTCTCTCATATTTCTACCTTAGAACAATCAAATAAGTGACAAGGGAAGCAGATTGGAACACATAAGGTCACACCCTGGAGTTTCTTAAAGTACCTGGATGCTAAAGAAGATGTCCTTTCCTTGTTAAAACCCATACTTAATATCCTTTCTAAATGGGATAGGGTAACTGTATTTAATCACAAGATGTTCACACTGAAATGTCATTTGTCAATACATGGCAATATGTTACACAAAATTCCATACACACCTACGAAGCCACATCCTCATTGCATCAAAATTTGAAGTAGATTAAAAAAATACACTCTGTTCTTAAATTCTGGATTAAAAAAAGGCCTCAAAATTCAACTCAGTTATATGATTGATTTAAGCACAAATTCTGCAGTCTTTTGGAAAGAAAAGTAGCTTTGATTTGAAGACACTGAGACAGAAAACATTACTTTTCCCCTGGACTGTTCTTGAACATCTTTTAAAATTTATATTTTAGTTTTCCATTTGAATTAGCTGAGCTTCAACTTTTAGCCATTCTTCACTAAAAAGTGCTTTAGCAGACAATATCTTCCTCTTTTAAAAGGATTTACATCATTGTCAGAAGACCTCTGATACTTTTGTCCTCTGATAACCTAAACAGACAAATGCCTAAATCTATGTAAGGAATTGTTTTTATTAACACTGAAATGTTGCAATTTTGTGCATTCTCTCCACTTTTTCATCACAAGACTTTTAAACACAAAGACACATCAAATAATTTTAATACTGGTACCACAAACTTTACATAAGATGTCTTAAATCCTCTAGATCAGTTTTACCCTTCTTTGAAAGATCTAAGGAATAGATTTCTGTCTGAATATAAACAACTATGGGTAGAAAGCAAAGTCCTAAACACTATTTTCAGAACAGCATAAAATAAAATTCTATAGTGAATATTAAATTACCGACATGAAAATTATTAATATCCAAAAATAATTGCATTACCAGATCAGGCATAAGAAAACAATACCACTACTTCTCAATGAATTTTCAGTTATTAATTTTACTGTAAAATAGATAAATATATTAATTCCACAGTTTTTTTAATCTTTTCAGAGAGAATGTGAAGTGTTAGGGCATGATTTCTCTTGTTTTCCTCCTCTTCCCTCCAGATTATTTTAAACAGTATATTTAAATTTAATAAATTTAATATTTAATAAACTAAATATTTCAATTTAAATATTAAAAATTATTCTGAGATAGATTTTTAGCTTTTTGATGCTTCTTGTAAATTACATATTCTATTTGAGATTGAGAAGCAAGTACAACAGTACATTTACCTTCAAATATTATGACAATAACCTTAAGCAGATGCTTTTTCCTCCAAGCTACCAAAAGCACTCTGTTTTTCACAAAAAAATATAGCATAAGGTAATAAATTGTAGTTTCAAAGATCAGCAAGTGTGATATTTATGTGAAAAAGAGGCAATCTGGAGAGTGATGATACTGGAACTACTTTTAAGATAGTTTCTCACTTCACTGTCTTACCGTATCCCATTTCTCTGATCAAAGGCAGGTATCATGGATGCTGGATGTTCGGACATTAGTGCCACTAGCAGCTGCAGCACATCATGAATATTTTCATCCTGTATGACAAGCATCAATGTTATTCTACAAACTAACCTCAACAGGTACAATTTGTTACAGTAAAAGATAGATAATTACAGAAATGTACCTCATGCATTGTTAATAAATAATTTAATATGCTTTGGAGTTCATCTTCTTTCACTCCTCGATCCTTAGGAAAAGAAAAAAAAATAAAGGAGATGCATTATTCAGAGAAAATACATTCTTTAAGTTTGGCTCAAGAAAAACTTGGAGCTATCAAATAATCCTACATTTTTTTCTATTTCAACTCAAAAGTCAAAATTGTCTTTCATTCCATTGCTTTTCCTTATCGCATTGGCAATTCAAAACAGCATGAAGTCAGCTCTCTATTCCTGCTAGAAAGGGTTTTTACAGTGTGGGCCCTCAGCTGCTATGAACTTGCACTCCTCCAGTCCCTGACATCAAACGGAAAAAACAGGAGGAATGAGCCAGGCCAGAAAATACTGGTTTTCGGTCTCATCTCAAATGGCAGATTATACCTCAAACACTAGCATTCAGCTGTAACAGAGAGAAAGAGCCCTAGACCATTTCAACCAGTGGTAGAACTAAAAAAAATTATAAAGTAATAACTAACAACTGCCATTAACTTTTCCATTTGATCAATCAAACAAGTATTGACTATCATATAATAAAAAGCCCAAATACCTGAAAGATTCTGTATTGTCATATATTATCTCCCTAAGTACATTTAATAAAATATATATGGCATAGATTGGTGAGGTTAATAAGAAACATTGTGTGGATTTACTACCTTTATGTGGATTAGAAGTATGTGCATGAACATTACAATCAGCCAGAAACAGATAAAATATCTGACAGGTATTAGATATTTACTGCTATGGAAGATAATATTACATGTAAATACCGAATCTCGACGTTTCCTATCTGGAATAGACTATTTTACCTTCAAAATAAGTTGTTTCAAAAACAGAAGCATAAATGCCCTTAGTGATATGATTTCTTTCTGTGAGGGCCGAGGACCATCTGGAAGAAGCAAAATATACCAATTTTAAATATAGACTAATTCTTTTAATTACTGCAGCTTCTTACAGGAAACCACAGTTCCTATAACAGACTAATATTCTATTCATTATACAAAAGTTCATATTTGCAAATGATATAACTTATAACCTTTCAGAGTCACATTTTACAACACCAACATACATAAGTGATGCTTCGTTTTGAAAAAAGAAATCCATACATATATATGTTTTCTTTTTTTAAACAAAGACACAGGAAAATGAAAGCCAGTAATCATTACTAGACTCACTTAAATAAATTAAGGTGTATGTACTACAGGTGTCTTCACTTGAGCCAGAAGTTTCACATCGCAATATAAGCAACTATTCTCTTTATTGACTGCTCAACTGACCTAATGTCAGTGCCAAAGTGAGGGTAAAAACTACTAGTTCTATTGATTACATTGAGTCGAATTCCACTGAAAACAATGGGAATTTAAACACTTAGTACAAGCTACACTGTGGACATGTAAACTTAAAAGGGTCTGAATACAAAGTTGAATCTCACCTAAAATACGTGATAACAACTTGGAATAAATAAAGCACTATGTTACATACCATCTGAATGAAATCCAACAGAGAAAGCATTAATGGAATTTTAGTGGTGACAACTGGAAGGGGGTAGATTTCATTAGATATTTGGAAGAAATTCTTCATTATGAGGGTGGTGAGACACTGGCACAGGTTGCCCAGGGAAGTTGTGGATGCCCCCTCCCTGAAAGTGTTCAAGGCCAGGTTGGACAGGGCTATGGGCAGCATGGTCTGGTGGGAGGTGTCGCTGCCCATGGCAGGGGGGTTGGACTGGATGATCTTTAAGGACTCTTCCAACCCAAACCATTCTATAATTCTAGGATTACCTGCAGCAGAAAATGAAGCTACTAAACCAAAAAGAAACTGCAATCTGAAGAAACTACTAAATTTAAATCAGAAAATAATAATCTGTAATCTATACTACTTTAAACAATTGTGCTTGATGAAGTACACTAAAAAAACAGAAGGTTTTAAAAAATTGAATAAAAAACAGCTTGAACAACTATATTCACTTGAGCCTTGCTCTGTTGTATTTTCCATTCTCCCCTTTAATAAATATTTATGGTTGATCTGGAAATTCCTGTGTTAAATTCAAACTTTTCCAAACAGTATGTGTCATAGACAGTCTTAAATTTTGTACAGTTAAAATAAATGCAGACCAAGTTACTTTTTCATCAACCATTTCATCTTATGCTGCTAAACACATATCAAATCCTAATAACACACTATGTCTCAGTATTATTTAAAATCCAGATGAATACAACTTTTTAATGAAGATTTTTTGATAGTCACCAGTGCTTCACTTTGAGGTGAAGCCACTGCTGTACACACATTAATTCAAGTTTGCAACAAGGGCAGACCTGAAGGTAAGTTAAATTTGTTTGAATGGCAGGAACAAAAAGAGTGGTTAAACCTCTCAAGCTTTCTTCCCTTTTTTTCCATGGAGAGAAGAGAACTGGGTAACTTTTCAGGAAGAAGCAAATAAATCTCAACCTCCCCACAACATTGTATGTAAAAAGAGCAAGGATATTATTGTAAAACACCTATTATATAGACTTTAAAGATATAGGAACCGTTTAATATCCATACATTCTAATGGCACCTAGAAACATCTATTTCCCATTGTAAACAATAGAAGTTGGATTTTTTTTGGTCCTAGCTCCAACTACATTAAATATTGCATGTGGCAATGGTATTCTTCCAGCCAACAGTTATTTGTTCCCTAATTAAAATGCAGATTCAACTCCTCTAATTGCATCATAGAATTCTGTTTCATTGTACACCCTCTTTCCTCCCACACCTTACTGGGATTCAATACCGGACAGTATCAGAAAACTAGGCCTAAAAACTAGAGGCATTTTATCTTTTCTAGAATATCGTATTTATAGAAACAGAAACCAGAACACTAGGGCAATGGGGAGCTCTGAAAAGCATTCCCGTATCAGAAATTTTAAGGAGAGATTAAAAAGAAGGTACCCCAAATTAACTGGGAACCTGTTAAAAGATACCCGACTTTCATTTTTCTTATTCACACACATTAGTTTATCTGGAGATGCGTGAGAACCATGAAAAGGGCTCTTCAACATGCAAAAGATACCAAAGGAGTTGCTGCTTTCAGGTTATATGCCAAGCAGGCAAAACAATGCCTTTTCCTTCAGTCCATCACTAATGCTTATGCCTTGTATTTTGGTTGCAACTTGAAGCTTCACTGCATTAGAACCATAAAAAGGGTCCAGTCTCTACCTAAAAGATTTTATTAGTCTGAAAAACTAAGAGAGGACTTGTAGAGAAAAGTAAGAGAGGTTGGAGAAATTGGAACCTATGTAACCAGTAGACAGCTACAAATAGTAGAAGCAATGACTGCAGCAATAGTAATGCAACAGTCATCTGATACAGATTGAATGGAATTAATCTGCTAAATTGCAAAGCTACATAAAACGGATTTCCCACTATAACTGTTATGTCATAATACTTTTAGGCTTCTTTACTAGTTGAAGAACTTCATTACTAGTTGAAGATTTATATTAAAAGTTGCATTATTGACCAAATAATAGTATAATTATACTATGATTAAAATTATACATAATACATGTATATACTGAGGTGAAGAGAAACATGTAGATCTTGTTTTTCAACTCAAACATTGAAAAGCAGTTTTCATCATGTCTATTAACCTTTGTGCCATCATTGGATTTAGACAATTCAGTTAGAAACTGATAAACAGGGCTGCTAAAGGCTAAAACCAAACCCAAACCAAATCAAAACCAAAGACAATCCTTTTAAGATCTGGTACAGCAACAGTATGTGTCTAATACAAAACAGCATCATTCCTGTCAATTGGCAAAGAGAAAGGATGCCTCCATTATTCCACACCAGGTTGAGTCACTAAATAATTTCCTTCTTTGATATTTTTTATGTATGTATTTATTGCAGATAGTACATGATTTGCATCAGATTTTTTAAATATACACTCATAATGAGAGTTAGCCAGCTTTATCCAGACAAAAATAAATGAAAAAAATTTATCCTATCCATCCTTGCAGCACGAAGCAATTATAAGGGGCATAAAACAGAACTAATTAAGGGGTAATAAGCAAACATATTCACAGAGTAAAGTACAATCAGTACTGATGTAATAAACTGATTGTGAGCCTTGAATAACAGAAATAATGTTTTCTAATCCTGTCTTTGGAAATAAAACATTGTGTTATCAGTTCTACAAGCAACCAAACACAACATTCTTCCATCTGGCTTTTTTATATGTAAAGAGCATGATTTTTATACTCCTTAAATTAATAGCAAAATCTGATCTCCACTCGTGCATAAATAATATCATGTTATGTGGATCACAGAAGGACCTACTTTTTATCTTACTGTTTCAAAGCTAATGAGACCTGCGTTGCACTCTAACCCAGCCCTCGCAATAACTGTGCGACTTTTAATATCCACAAAAAGCAAAACTATAGTTAGTTTCTCCTTATAATAATTTTCATAATTCCCACTCTTCTACCTCATGTTCAAAAATGGTGGACATAAAGATGTTCTTGAAAACTTTGTTTAACATGAGATAACTTGGACACTAACAACTATGCATCTTCTAGCAGAAGGCAAGATACTGCTCATGAAGGTCCATTCAGCGTGAGGGTTGGGAAGCACACAGGAAAACATGAGTAGAGAAAAAGAAATTCTTGTCAAACATCTCAAGAATGAACTATACTACTCACTACTCTGGAGCTTCAATGCACATTTCTCTCCTACAACAATGAAGTCGCAAGTACTTCATAGGGACGAACAGAGTCAAGAGAGTCCAAAATTACAATTTATCAGAATACATTTCTGAGAGTTGTTAACACTAAGTATCCTAAGTTATTTTTTTCTTAGGGGAGAAAAATAGGGGCTTTTTTCTGTTATTGCCTTCATTTTATGCTTTCTCATTACTGCACTATTGTTGGTCCATTAGTATTTTCAGAGAATGCCATGTAGTTGGTAAGTAATTCCAATGAAGAATTTTCAAGGCATAAATATCCCTGTGGGCTCTAAGAAGTTATCTCTTAAAATTACAGAAATTGTACATGAAATTAATTTAGCAACATGGAGATATTTTTTAAAGCACATAAATGTTTCATTTTTCTTTAAAAAGATTAATAAATTAAATTATCCAACAGTTAGTAGACATCCAAAGTTGAAAATAAAAAAGTGTATTTAATTTTTTCTCTGTTGCTTTGATACTAAAATGTGTGAGTTTTGCTCCTTCTCAAATACACTCACAGCTTGGCTTTTCTTTAAATCTCAGCCTAGTATATATTTTGAAAAGATGAAACATCAAAGAAGAACAAAGACAGGTAACATAACGCTAAGACATCTCATTCAGCTTGAAATATCATTGAATTACACCCTCTACCATAGCAAGATAAAGAGTTAAATATCTCCCAACTTATGCTTTTATTCATTCCCAAAATCCACAAATGGAAGTAATTACAGAAAGAAGTAATATAATTTTATATAATTTTTACACAGTTGCTTGCTTCACTATGTCTTCAGATGCTGCAATTGTTGGGCAACTCTATGATCTTCTCTTGCCTTCACATATTATTCTGTATAATTTAACAAAATAATAAAATGCTCGTGGCAAATCAAGAGAACAGCTGTAACCATAATTCAAGTGAAAAAAGTAAAATATAGTAAAGTTTAGATATTCTTTCCTGTAGTAATTAGTTTGACATTTCCTGCTCTTCCTGAGATGAGAATTATTTCACAAGTTTACCTTTAATATGGTCTTAAAACACAAGTCATTTTTGTCCTGCCATTTATTTATAATTGGCAATTTAATTTAAGAAAATCACAAAAACAACTTGAAAAAATAAAGTAAAACTCACAATTAAAAAAAACCTTGCCTCCACTATGTAGGAATAATTATCAAGCAAACTGATAAATATAAATTTGAAAAAGTGTTTCTAATACTTCAGTAGGAAACAAAAGAAAGCAAAACTAATTCAGTATACTGAATACAAGAAGAAAAAACAATTTGAAACAGGAGAGCAACAATGAAAGAGAAGATACAATCCCAAATTTGAAATAAATATTTGATCATTTTAATGATTCAGAACATTTACACCTCCTATTTTATAGGTTAAATATGAGAAGAAGCAAGGGGCAGTGTTAGCCAAATGGGAAGCATCAATATTGAGTCACTTTGGCTTTAAACAAGGTTTGCTAAACTGTCAGTACAGAAAACGCACCCACTTTGTGCTTTATGAAGGCAGGGGAAGGCAATAAAACCTTGAAGCAGAGCAAATGTCTGCAAGTAATAGTTAATCAAACTACTAATATTAAAAAGTGTTTCAGTATCTCTGCATCTTGTCTTGAAGACAAGAAAGCATCATGCTACTGAGGTATCAGCATGAATAACTTTACTTACTAATAAGAAAGCAAATTATTTGAATGCACTATAACACAGACAGTCAAATTCTGGATATTGACAAGATTTCCATTAAAGTCTTCTTCAGATCTGAAAAGTCTGATGTCAAGTTAGCTTAGAGTTTCAGCTGCCTCTGATAAGGAAATGACATTTTTCTGTTTCTTACAGTAAAATTACTGCTAATAGACAATGGGTCCTGTTCTTTCATTTAGAGATATAAAATGTGACTTAAAATGCAGCAACTCTAACATTCATATAATTGTAATTTTACAGTGTAAATATCTTACTTTCACTAACTTCTTTTTACACATTATTATACATTTTAAGAAATTAAAAACTTGTTGGCTACATGTAAGTCGTGGCTGTATGCAGGTTAATAAAAATCAACGCAAACCCAAAATCCTAGAACAGTTAACTTTTTTGAAACATTAGGAATGATGAAGTCATGAGTTTCTGAAAACAGAGGTGAAAAGAAAAAAGCTTTAAGTGTATTAACTACAGCTACTCATAGTATTCTAAGACTATAAGCCTGAATCAGCCAGACCTGCATATCACACTGGCAGATTGCACTTAATGTTAAAAGGGGGAGCACCTGGTGAAGAAAAGTGATGTAATATTCAGGTGATTAAACATTTTGAAAGGTTTTCAGGAATTTTATCAATTTAAAGTAATTAATGTGAATTTTATAAAAAACCTAATATGAAATGAAGTTAATACTAAATTAAATTTAGAAACCCATCACCTCAGCTATTATTATATTTCCACAGTCATTTGCTTGCAAATCACCACAGTCATTATAGCTATATTATTCAGAAGCAGAAACTACCCACGAAATAATAGCAAAAAAAGTCCTAGTGCTGATTTGCTTGGACAAAATTTCATAACTATGCTGGATTGGACATCCATTACTATGTCACTGATCTTCCTCCCTGATAAGCTCACATTCTTCAACTCAATATAAGGAAAGCCATTTTTACAGAAAGGAAAGAGAGTACTACAAAACATTTTGTTATAGTTGTATCAATTACATGGGACTTCCTGCAGTCTAAGCAACAGGGAGGAAGAGGAGAAGGAACAAGGGATAAAGTTGAGATTAACCTTTAAAAATATCAAGTTTATCTATACTTCTAAAGAAAAAAAGAGAAAATTCAGAAATAGTGGATAATAATATGTATTTTGAAAACATTCATGGCCTCACAATTTATCGAACACCTTCCTAAATACTACATGAAGGCCTTAGTAATTTTGATTTTTGTTCTCACACTGTTATACCAAACAACCAGTAATTTTCACTAACTGTTTACCTTTCAGGAACCTACTTGGTTGCCTTCCTGAGAAAACCTGAACAGTGTCTGGAATAGACACAAATGAGAAGAGAATGTACTATATCCTTACAATAAGTAAGAATGACAGAAAAGATAAGGAAGTAAAACAACCATATGTATGCTAATTTAGATAAGTGATTCATTTCTCATTCCTAATTTTGTGTCCTTGTGTACACCATGCCTTCTGTTCAGATTTTGATGAATACATGATATATATTTTTGTAGCTATTCAAATGGCATTACATATACAAATACTCCAAAAATATAGCTAACTGCAGAGCAGCAGATCTGGGCAAGATTAAAACAAGCTATATCTCCTACAGAAAGAAATGTCACACTGTTTCCACAAAAGAGCAAGCCTAGCATGTCTGCAACATTTTCAAAGTTTTGTTAGGTACTAGTATCATGATGCAGAAGGACAGGATTTGTTTAATTTAAAAAAACCCCAAACAAACAAACAAAAAAACAAACCAAAAAACCCCAAAAGAATTACAGCAATAACAAGTAGACAATATTATCAAATTTATAGTCTCAAACTAGTTGAGCAATGTTCCAGGTCTCTGTCTAGGTGTAAACATGGTTGACATTTGGAAACTTTACCTCCCAACAGCTTGTCATTCAACACATACAATGTACATGTTTTAAGCTGAGAAGCTGAATTTTTAACATCCTAATTCCTCGCTGAGCTCAGATATTGTTAACTTCTCTGATGGTAAAACTGTACCTACACAGCACAACAGTGTAACCTTCAACAGAGTAGAGCTCTGAAAGCAGGAAGCTGGATAAAGTCCATCCCAAGGTAGGGTTCAGGTCACCCTAATTACAAATATCTACAATGGACTTGCCAACATGTGAGACCTGCTTCTAAACTTCCTCTGAAGTCAGTGGAGATCTAATCAATGGAGTCTAGAAAGAAATTACCTTTCAAACCACGTAGTTCTCTAGGCTCTGTAGACTAGGGGTAGGACACAGCTTCCAAAAAATGCTAGTCAGTGTGATTTGACATGCCATAAGTTATCCCACACATCTACACTGAACAAGCAAATTTGACACAGGAAGGACAGGACACCTGCATCCTTCTGAAAGGCAGGTGGGATGTCCCACAGTGACTAAAATAATACTAGAAACACATATTCTAGTAACTGACTTCTGCATTCCACTGTCTATAATCAGCAGACAACTAGCTCAGATGGAGACACTTTCATTGTAGGTACCAAAAACGAACTTAATTCCATTTTGGCAGAGGAAATCCAGAATCAGTGCAAGTGGAAAATGTATTTTATCACTGACAAAACATTCAAGCTGATAAACGCCACAGTTAATTTTCATAATGTGATATTACAAACTTTTCTTTCAATGGATAGAGAACAGAAACACGGTGTGCTTATGTCAGGTATTTTTAAAGCAAATTTAAAATAATTTTAGGAAGAATATAGTTAGTCTAATATTATACTATGAGAGAACTATAAAGAAGGTCCCAGCTCCAAAAGCAGCTCTTTCTGTGAGCCTCAGTAACTTACACCTTCACTGCCAATTAGGATACCTAATCTAGGATAAGAATTGTTCCTTCATTTTTATTTATTAAAAAATAAAAGAAAAACCTTATGCATACAGTTCACTTACAACTGAAGAATTATCCAGTAACTTACATGTCTTCACATTCTTAAATATTTGTATATGTGACAGCACTAAGACATCCCCCAATTATTCAATTTCTCAGCATGACAGTATTAGTTACAAAATAAAGAAAATTAATAAGTTCTTCTATACCAATTATTTTTTAAGGGACTTTCAGCCAAATCCTCCCTGCTATACACAAGTAGTCAGCTAAATGTAATGACATTACAACTGGAGTGTACAGGATTAGAATGATTTGATGCTCTGGTTAATGCACATCTGTTGCACGCAGCGTTTAGCCTGTATCTATTATTGTACTTTGTTGCCATCATTCAATGCTTCCTAAGCTAAGCTAAGAACATGACTATAAACAAAGTTAAATCAATCTGTATTTTATAAGGCTAGATAAAAAAATACTATTAAATTGGAAATGTAGCATTAGAGATCTCAGTAGTGAGAACCAGAGTTTCCACACTGTTTTCAAGGTCACTACACACTACAAACTGCTCAAACCACAAAAAACTTCCTTTGGCATATGAGATACACTTAACATTTCCTCTCTGGTACAGAAGAATAAAAATCAGAGTTTTAAATATGTTTTCAAAAGTATGCTCATGTAAGTATATGCTATGCAAGTGAAGACCAGATTTGAAATCTTCTGAGAATACATATAAATATAAGGAATTATCATCAGAAATGCATGATACACTAGAAGTACTTGCACAGTCATTCTACTGTTTACCACTGGTACCAATTACTACCACTTATTTATCAACTTGTCTAAGGAGCTTTCACACATTTCACAAGAAATGCCTATAATTTCTTTCTTATGCATTGTACTTACCTAGTCCCTTAGGAGTAATGCCACTGCTATCAGCAGGATTAACCACCCAGTAGTAGTATTTCAGTGTGTGCATTAACTGCAGTACTGTTCCTACTCTGCGTATAGTGTTATAGATGGTAGCAGTTCCAATGAATTCAGCTGACAAGTAGGTATACAAAGACAGCTGCACCTGAAGAATGACATAGTTATCCACATAAATGTAAGTTATATAGTAATAAGCTTAATTTGTAGGTTTTTTAGGGTTTACTTTGGATATGATATAAAAAACCTAAAAATTACAAACAACTGAGGGCAGAAACTGGACTGACACCTGGAATCACCTCCAGAGGTCTCTTGCAATCTAAATTTTCTATGACTTATGTCACAAAACATGTACTGTTTTTTTTTCTATTTTGGCTTTTTACACTAAAGGTATATATTAACAGATTTCAGGATCATGGTCCATATTCCTCATCTGCGATTATCTAGGAAAAAAACTAAATCATTATCACCAGAGATGAATGATAACTTCTCATAGTTTTTATCAAAACAAAGTACATAATTTAAATGAATAAATAATGAATAAAATCAAAGTTTATGTGAATGTGTAAAAAAGACATCTTACCTTTTACTTACCATTAAAATTGCATAATTTTATGCTTAATCTTTAGGGAAACAATGTAACATAGCCACTGAAAAAAGGACTGAGTTTCTAGAAACAGTCTTTTGATAGAATTAGCCAGAATCTTAGGAAAGAACGTAATTGCTTTTAGAAACTTATAAAAGATGTTGGAGAATATAGTTAAGCAGAGTATAGACTTCATGATCTAAAAAAAATCTTTGTTATTACCATGTTTTCAAATAAAAAAATAAAAAAACCTATGTACCATGGTACAAAAGAATACTTGTAGTAGGGTCATAACATCATTCAAGTATACAATTACCTTTGCAGGAGTATGTATCCAGATAGCCGGATTAAAAAGGATGTGATCACATAATTGCTTCAGTAGAGGTGCTCCATGAGACAATCCATCCAAATATTTTGCAAATGACAAAAATTGTTCCAGAACTGCTCTGGTTATATGAACTCTAGATGACTGAGGAAAAATAATCAGAAAGAACTAAGATAAAGAAAAAACTTAATATACTCACAGCAGAAATGTGAAGTGATATTTTCACCAGACTCGTCTTTACTAAATACGTGCAACCTCATGTTTTAATGTCACTGAATATAAAAGGAAATTAAGAAAAAATATCATCAACTTCTACTTCCTAATAGTATTCAGTCTTCCTAATGGCTACATTTAACAGGCTAAAAATCTTCATCAGTGACTGAAGTTAAATCCTTTTTTGTTTGTTTTATTGTAATCCAGTCAGGATTCTACATTTTACAGTACAGTGTCATGAGTATTTTGTCTAAAGTCTTTAGTCTTTAGACTTCTTCAGTTAATTCTGTGTCTTACTGAAATTGGGTTTCTCAGTATGCAAGCACACCTGTAGACTTCCTTTGTTTTTTAAACATAAGTAGGTATTTGAAGGATTCGGGATCAAGGTTTTCTCAAATTCCAAGAGTCCTTCAGTTTCATAGCATATGCTATAAAATCATAGTTGAGACCTGCTCCTGTGCAGTAACATTGCATGTGGAGTCTGACAAACTTCTTTATACACTGTTAACAACAGGAACTAATAGGAAAAACCACTGAAAATCCTTCCTCTTGCCTTCCCTAAAAAATGTTCCAATTACTTTTAATGCTGTAAGTAAAGTCTGGGAACATGCAGATTTGCTATTTTTAGAAGTGAAGTCCATTTGTCAGTAATACAAATTCAGCCTGGATGCTGAGTTTCCTTTGGCTTGAACATCACAATTCACAACAAATAGTCTGAAACTAATAAGAAAAAAAATGTTATTTTGAAGTTAAAGTCAGAAAAAAAAAAGCTTTCTGTAGTATCTGATTGCATGAAAATCAACAACAGATAATAATAATTCACAAATAAGAATAATAATTTACAAATAATAAAAATGAGCCTGGCTAGGAAACAAAAGGATTTCTTCCTGCCATGTGTGCCAACTGAATATAAGGATATACTGAAAAAATAAAATACATCTTTTTGAAAAACTGCAGCTAAGGAGAATATAGCATAAAATCCTCCAGAGAACAGCATATGCTGTAAGAATTATGTTGTGACAGAATTCAATCAAGAGCCTTTAAATATTCACAAACTCTGAGTTTAATGATCGTAGCAGGTGTTAATTAGAATAGTACACAAACTTTAAAAAAAATATTCATGTACAACATTCTAAATTGATGTATTCAATGTATGTAAACCTTACTGCTTTATTCAAGAGAAATGGACTCCATGAGGGCTCACTAGCCTGCCTGTAAATAACTTATAGAACTGGAGCTATAACTGCTTTGTAAATTCATTCAGGTTATGTCAGAAGAAAAGCCACCACTGAAAGAAAAAACCCACCTTGGACTAGTTCTTCAACATTCTAAATCAAACTTGCTTAGTACAGAAAACATAGCAGCATAGAAAATAATTTGCTTTTAGTTATTGCTCCAGTGAAGGTATAGTCTTTCTACTATAAGAACATATTTCCCTAGCTGAAAATAACATAATGAGCAGAATGAGAGAAATTATTTATCATTCTTCAAAACTTAACGTGTTTTTAAAGGTGAGATGATAGTTATTTAATTTCACCATTGGACAACATACTGGCCATAACTTCTCAAATGATTGTTCTACTGACCACATGCTAATGAAAAATACAGTATCAGGCATTCAAGAATGTCAGTAATGAGATTCAATCCTAAGAATATTACTATCTTAATACAGTTGGCAGTAGTTTGTTTTCAGACTATTAAATAACAGTTACAGGATTTTGTGAGGGCTTTGATCCAGGAGGCAGGTCATGTTCCTCAGATAAGCATCTGAACTGAGCCTCAGTTTTGTGATAACTGCTCATCATATCCTAAAAAGAGCAACGTACTTGGGCGCAAAAGGAAAATCTATAGCAAATGGAAGTGAGGACAGGTTAGATAGAAAGATTACAAAGATGTTGCCCAAACAGCCAGGGATCAGGTTAGAAAAGCTAGGGCACAGGTGGAATTAAATCTAGCCAGGAACTAAAAGGGGAACAATAAGAAAATTTATAGGTACATCAGTGATAAAAAGAAGGTTAGGGAAGATGTGGGCCCTCTCCAGAAGGAAAATGGAGAACTGGTCAAGGGATACGGAGAAGGCTGAGGTTCTCAATGACTTCTTTGCCTCAGTCTTCACTGGCAAGGGCTCTAGCCATGCTGCCCAAGTCACAGAAGGCAAAGGTAGGGACTGGGAGAAGGAAGATCCACCCACTGTAAGTGAAGATGAGGTTCAAGACCACCTAAAGAACCTGAAGGTGCACAAGTCCATGGGACCTGATGACATCCATCAGCAGGTCCTAAGAGAACTGGTGCATGAAGTTGCCAAACTGCTATCCATCATATTTGAAAGGTCATGGCAGTCTGGTAAAGTTCCTGATGACTGGAAAAGGGGAAACATAACCCCCATTTTCAAAAAGGGGAAAAAGGAAGACCCAGGAAACTATCGGCCAGTCAGTCTCACCTCTGTGCCTGGCAAGATCATGAAGCAGATCCTCCTGAAGGCTCTCCTAAGTCACAGGGAGAACGTGGCAGTGATTGGTGGCAACCAACACAGCTTCACCAAGAGCAAATTGTGCCTCACTAATTTGGTCACCTTTTGTTATGGAGATACAGCTTCAGTGGACAAAGGAAGAGCAATTGATGTCATCTACCTTGACCTGTGCAAAGCCTTTGACACTATCCTGCATGACATACTGGTCACGAAACTGGAGAAACATGGATTTGATGGACGGACTACTCACTGGATAAGGAATTGGCTGGATGGTCACACTCAGAGAGTTGCAGTCAATGACTCAATGTCCAAATGGAGACCAGTGGCGAGTAGTGTCCCCCAGGGATTGGTACTGGGACCAGTACTGTTCAATATCTTTGTCAGTGACATGGACAGTGGTATTGAGTGCACCCTCAGCAGGTTTGCAGATGACACCACACTGGGTGGTGCAGTTGACACACTGGAAGGAAAGGATGCTATGCAGAGGGACCTGGACAGGCTGGAGAGGTGGGCCCACGCCAATCTGATGAAGTTCAACAAGGCCAAGTGCAAGGTCCTGCACCTGGGTAGGGGCAATCCCAAGCACAAATACAGGCTGAGTGTAGAATGGCTCGAGAGCACTCCCAAGGAGAAGAACTTGGGGGTTCTGTTCTATGAAAAACACAACATGAGCCAGCAATGTGCGCTTGCAGCCGAGAAGGCCAACTGTATCCTGGGCTGTATCAAAAGAAGTGTGGCCAGCAGGGTGAGGGATGTGATTCTGCCCCTCTACTCTGATCTGGCGAGACCCCACCTGGAGTACTGCATCCAGTTCTGGGGTCCCCAACATAAGAAGGACATCGAGCAGATCCAGAGGAGGGCCACGAAGATGATCAGAAAGCTGGAGCACCTCCCCTACGAGAACCGGCTGAGAGAGTTTTGAGCATGGACTTTGAGCAACCTGGTCTAGTCGGAGGTGTCCCTGCACATGGCAGTGGGTTGGACTAGATGATCTTTAAGGTTCCTTCCAACACAACCCATTCCATGACTCTATGATTCTATGAAGTGAAGGGAATGCCATGTGCAACTGTTTCCTTCAGAAATGAAATTATTTTAGTTTTTCTCCTTCAAAACACAGAGGAACCATTTAAACAATTTCAAAATTGAGCCACAGATGATTAACTTAATTTTTATTAACATAGACAAAAAAGAATTTTAAACCAAAATTATGACATGTCTGTGATATGCTTGTATACACTGGGAACAAAAGAACTTTCCTAAATTAGAGTCTAGGGGACAGAGAGTGGAAAAATACAAATGAAAATACATTAAAGTGATTCACAAACAGATCTACAGTAAAAGCATAAATCAGACAAACAGGATCAGCTCCAGAAAATTGATACTTTGAATACTGGCATATAAGAGAATTAGGAAGATTAAAAGAATCCTGCAGACAACTTGTAAGTATTAAAAATAAAAAATAAATCAAAAATATACTTTATTCAACCAGTCCTTTAAGCTAAGTGATTGGAAACACCACAATGACAGTAGAAATACTAACAAAGATGAAAAACACCTCCAAACATACCTTTTCAAGGAGGTAGCCGATGACTAGAAAGCCTTTTCCACCAAGCATTTGTTCTTGCATGGCTACTGAACTCTTAAGAAGCTCAACCAAGAATGCCAATAGGGTAGCACTGCATGTAAAGAACAAGCATTTTTTGGATTACAAATGTAGAAAAATCAAACTCTTATATTCTCAATATTCACCAACTTTTAAGTGAACAGAAACAAGCTTCAAGTAGCAAACAATTCCTTGAAAGAATACAAATCTTACTTTTTCTGTTGACAAATTTCTCCAATGACTGTTCGCATATTACAACAGTAGAAGTGAGAGTTCATATTCAAATAGAAGTGGAAACATCATTTTGTCAGCTTTTGCAGTAACAAAGAAGTGAAACAAAGGAAATGTCCAACCTGCATTTTATAAATTTCAACTTTACTTCCATTATTTGGTCAGTTAAAGCTTCCCTTGCTCTCCGAATACAATTTTTCACTTTGAAATAAATGTTGAGACTGGTTAATCCAAACAGCACCAAAAGAATAATTAATGTGCTGAGGAAATCAAGATTTATTCTATTTGTGAGCAAGGCTGCCATGTGGAAAGTACACAGTGTAGGCAAAGGACATGCTGTGAACATGAAGTAGTGTCTTGTCTTGCTTCATTGTTGAATGGTCACAATAATCAGTCTAAAATCACATACAGAATGCTCCACAGAGTGTCAGCAGTAAAAGAACACAGATAATATCCATTTACAGTACTCCATTGCTTTTATCAAAACAGCCTGTCAAGCTGTCACTTCAATTTCAAACCAGGTTATATGCATTATTTTTTTCTTACCCTGACTGAAAGTTTCTATTGTATTTGTCATCTGAAATAAGATACTCATCATTTTTACTACATGACAATCCATTAGAAGCTCATGTAAAGGGTTGAAGATTTATATTTAGAAACTTAAAAAAATAATTGAATAGGTCAAAGAAAATTTCATATAGATGGTGCTTGCTATCATCTGATCCTTATGAATTAGGAGGACAACCCATTACGCATAAAGTTGAGAAGAAGTATACATATTGCCAGGATTAGGACATAAATTACAATAATGTATTAAATTAATAATATATTGAAAAGTAAAAAAAATGTTCTTAAAATGGGTTGAAAAGATTGTTGTACCATGAATATGGCACCAGACTTAAGTTCAAAAGGTTCTACTTCCACTTCTATAAGTGATTTATCAAAAGCCATTTTCTTTGCATTGCAGATTATTTATCCATTCTATGACCTTAGACGTAAACTCATGGTCTGGAGTTATTCTTATCTCATATTAATACAATCTCTACACAATTGTTAGAAATTCTGATAGGACTCCAAATACAAGTTATAAGAAACAGTGACACCCTAACAATAAAGATTTTTCTCTTTCCTTTTTTTTGAGTACACATAAAACACACCAGCCAACTCAGAAATAATCAGTAGCCAGTTAATATTTAACCATGCCACAGACACAGAAACATACAAGCTGGTTCTATGCAAGAAAGGCTGAATCAACAAAGTTTATTAATTCAGATGCAGATGGAGCCCAAATATCACTTTTTAGATATTAACCATTGTTATGAGGGGTATGGCTATTAATCCTGCCTGCCCACATCAGCTCTGCACAGAGCTACTTTAGCTGTCACTGCAAAGCGATGCTAATATTTCTAGTTCCCGGAAAACATATTAATTTAGCCAATACCTTTGTGAATGAGCTATGTATTTTCCTAAGTCCAAAGTGGCTTTTAACATCTATTGAACCAGACACATAAAGACACCACAAGCCAGCTCTGCAGAGTCAGCTCGGGTCTGCAAGCAGTAACTCCACCTTCTAATCCTTCTGCATTATCCAAGATTGCCATCATAAATAATAGAGTTGACTGTAATATACAGTTATTCAAATCTTCGGATAGGACATGTGAATTCATCATTACACCTTCAAGCACATAAAAAATTCCAAGTACCAGAAAAAGCAGCAGTTAAGCAGAACCGCTTGACAGTCATATAGAGGTATGATGAAGTTTGAGGTGAATACTGTCTAGGACAACATTATTGATGAAAATTAGCACCATAATTAAACATAGCTAGCAGTTTGTCCACATCATTATGCAGGAAATAACTAATTAAAAGGTCTGCGATATTTTATCAGTAGATCTGTAAAATCAAAATGGAATTGTTTTTAAATTCTCCCTGCATGTGCTGTATTGAAGCTATTTCTACCTGAAGATGATGATCAGAGACAGGCAGAAAACAGATTACATTTTTAATCTGATTCTTTTCCAGAAACCTTGCTTACACTTGTTTCAGGTGAAACTTCTTTTTTGGAGGAAGAAAAGGAGGGAATGAAACTGCAAAAAATAACAGTTGTCACCCAAAACACTGTACGCGTGATGTTATCTATCTTATATACCTTATGCGAAAGAGCATTCAATCTGCCTAAAAAGATCTAACAGTTAACAACTCTCAGGTAAATTTTCCTATCCTCCTCAAAACTTCTCTTTCTTTTTTTTTGACATCAAGCAAACATTCAAGTGTGTGTGTGTGTGTGTGTGTGTGTGTGTGTGTGTGTGTGTGTGTGTATAAATCCATATCGATATAATGAATACTTTCTCCTCAGTATTGCACTTAGTTTTCTAGAGGACCGACTACCTAAATTAAAGGATTGCACCCAGAACTTTTAACGTATTTCTAAAGATAGTAAATTTATGCAGTCATCTTGGCAGCTGAAAATAAATTAAAGCTGAAAATTTTAAATATAAGAATTATTATCAGCAGAAACATGTTGCCAAAATTATGCCTTTAAAAAGGTTACTGTTGGCACAGGTGAAATAGTATTGATTAGAAGACTGTCTTCTAAGATGAACAATTTCTGAAACAGAATTTAACAAACTTACCAGTAACTAAAATGCATCAGATTGTTGCAGGGCTCACATTAAACGTGCAAAATCCTGTGCACTGCCATACAAAATTTCTCTCCATTCTTGCCTATTTTCAACTCCACTAGATACAAAGGCAAATATAAAGGATACTTCGGGCCATTCCTACATCTCCTGTATACCATGTCCTGCCTAGAACAGAATAGTTTGTCTGCAGCAGAGCTAAGGCACAGATACACAATGAAGATACATGTGTCAATCAACACTAAAATAGACAGAATTCCAATTTCTATGGATAATAAAATTAATTTCAGGACAAAATTTTTCCAGTTGTTTTCCATTTTCTGCTAAGAAGCAGGAAAAAAGGGTTCCAGACCAAAACACAAAGATGCTGTATTTCCAAATGTTATGATACTGCTTACTCTATAATTAGCATATAGAGATAGTAAGTTTCTGGAATACTGGTATGTAAAAAAATGAAGATTACATTGTTACAGAATTGTCTGATTTTCCCCTCAAACATACATGTCTCTTGTGATGACTTTAAAACAAACAAGCAAATAAACAAACAGAACAACAGAAAAATAAAAGCCCAGGAGGACAGAACTGGTGTTCACAGAGTACTGGACTGTCTGACTGGAGGGCGTTCTTAGGGATGCTTTCAAGTCTATACATATTTATTGTATCTGTGAAGTCCCTACCTTTGTAATTCAGACAGTTACTCTTATAATGCGCATGGTGAAGTTACAAATATCACCTGGCTTATTTCATTCTTCCAAATATATAGATATGATATGAATAACTAGTATTTTTCAATAGTTCATCATTATGTTTCAACATTACAATGTTTCAAGGTGACAATCTTCAGTCAACAGCCATGCAGTGTTACTCCTTAAATAAAAATATACTACAGTAATTCATGAAACCAACTGCTTCTGTAGATGACAGTCTTCAAAATTCCAAAATACTCCTTTTCCATTACAAATAAGAATAATTAAATGCATTAATACATATTTCATTTTCACTGTCCATTTATATCTATGGGAACTTTAAAGAACCTTTTCAAGTTACAGGTAAAAGAAGCTCACAGTGGAAACCCCAGGGTTACAAAGTCTTTATGCTATAACAATCATTGAACAAGAAAGAGCCAGCTTTGTCTAATTCTAACTTGACTGCTAGTTCCCACTAAGTGAACAATTATTACTGTTTTGTGGAGCTAAAATACAGGACAATTTAGATAAACTGTACTTATGATATTGGTTTCTAAGACTTCACTTACAAATGAAGCACCTTTTTAGGAACATCATTCATATATTCCAATAAACTCAGATGACAAAAGCTTTGGAGGAATAAAGAAAACCCTAGAAGTCAGGAATTTGCATCACTAGAATAAAAGTGAAATCTGTCTTGGGTGGTTTTTTTGTTGTCATTGTTTTTGTTATTGTTGTTGGTGGTGGGGTTGTCTTTGTTTTTTTGAGAAATCACTACATAGATCAATTTCTCTAGTCTACTCTTTCCTGTGACCATTTTTCCTGAAAAATTTACCTTAATTACTGTTAGTTTCATTCTGCGTTGTGTATAACAAAGTTATCTGCATTGTGCTTTACAACATGCACCTTTAATTAAAGAAGTCGTGCAGCTCTATGCTGCATGCATGATCTATGCATGTTGATTAACAATCGACAATTTAACTTGAAGAGGCTATGCAAAAGAGAATGATGCAGGTATTTGTTCTGTCTGACTATCTTCAGGAAGGATCCTTTATAAGCTAATGACATTTGTATTTCCAGCTTCTCCAAAAGAAGACAAAAGGATCATATGATGTTAACATGATAGCATATGGCTGTTAATATGATAAGTATTGAAAACTAATCTTATCATAAACAGATAAAATAGCATTAAGGAAAATCATACACTAAGAATTAGTGTTTTGCAAACAAAAAAAATAGTCCTAAGGTACTTGCCCCTAAATTCAATTCAAAACACAATACTAGCTGTATTGAGATAAATAATAATAATAATAATTATTATTATTATTATTATTATTACCCTTTGTCTGCTGGCTGCCCATGATATCTCCCTGTTAGAAAATCGTATATTTTAGAAAAAGTTGAATGAGTTTGGCTGATTCAAGTAATTTGTTACATCATCAGAATGTTTACTAAATGTTTCATAGTATAGACTTCAGCCCTCAGGAAGAAGCATTAGCAACATATTAGCAATATAT